GTATGCAGCGGCACTTAATTCACACGAACGAATATGCTAAGTACGTAAATTGATTGGAAATTCACGGATAATCGAAAACGCGCTGTTCGACGTATTCTCTACAAGACTGTAATCGCGCGGTATAAGCGACGTTCGTCGAGGCACTCGTTCGACAGCCACGTAAACACCGACTGAGGACGAGTCGTCCTACCCGATTTCTGATCGCTGTACGCTCGCAACTGTCCTTAACTTCCTAGAAGTCGTGATATTTCTTGCGAGCCAAACATAAGAAACGCGAGCTAAACATAAAGCTAGCTGTCCTTTTCAGAGTAAAACTATCGCGAGTTGCTCTCGAGAGTATCTCTCGCGAGTGGATACTGCGTCTGAGAGTAACTGTCTGAGAGCATCGCTCAACTCTCTCAGAGTTACGACTCGAATAAACAGTTGCTTTGCAAACACCAAGCAGTTTCGTATTCTTGACAGAATTCTCTAAAAAAAATTAGTGGAGAAATGAAATCACCGATTTAATCACTCTCTACGAAGAAAAATCAGTGTTGTGAAATACGAAAGATAAAGTATAAAGGAGTTATTTTTATGTTTTTTAAATGACTTTGTTCGCACCTCGTTGGGCTCGTCTTAACATACGCTATCATATTATGTATAAAAAAGTATAGAATTCCATTTAAAAAAATTAAACTGACTTTGTAATCTCCCCCACCATACCCGGTACCAAAAAAGTATTTATATCACACAATGTCCCCCTCCGTACCAAACAACTTTTGTTAAAACATTTTCTTCCTAACATTACTTCCTTAAAAGATATTTCGCTGTATTGAGATAAAACAGACACCCTGTATACTTAAAATTTTTTCCAATAAAATGAAGGCTGTTTAATATTTATAACATGTAAAAAAACTAAAATTTATATTTCATTAAAAGATATTTTTTCTGGTACTGTCTTATTTTTTATGAAACGTATTTTGTGAAGAAAGGTAGGTCAACTATTAAAATTATAATAAAGCAGCTTTTGTTTCATTTTAGGGCTCATTAGGTATTGATAATCCGGTACCTTACATATTTAGAGGACCATTTGAACTGGTAGATCCTGGTAACAACTTTGCTGGCCAATTAGATCTGGATATTACTGTCTCAAATTTGGGAAGGTATTATGAAACAGTAAATTTAAGCTTTACCTTTAAATATGCACTGCATAAAATATTAATTAGTGCTCTTCACTTGCTGCATATTTTATAGCTGATAATATCTTTGTATAAACACAGACATATTTTAATATTTTAACTACTCTTTAATCAGATACTAATAATTTACATAAATTAATTTAACTTTTCCCTATTACCTGAAGAAGTGTCTGGAATTTAAATTGAACTCTATACAGCAAACAATCACTGAATTTCTATAATTTACAAAATTTCTTTAAAACGCAATCTATTATTTATTTACCACATTACAATGTCACCAAAAATTTCTCAAAAATTTCATCTCTTATTTAATTACCCCACTATGACGTTACTATTATTTAGAAGCCTCGTAACCTCATATGCTCTGGCGCCCAATTGCTTCGTCTTCAAAAACGACCCCGAGGGACGAGAGTTTAAATGCAACAGTAAAGAAAAGACGAAATTACCCGAAGAAATTCACACACCATTCGGAGATAATTTACCAAACATGGGAAACCGCATGATGGACTATCTATTGGACACGGTTTCACCAGGGAATCTGATAAGAGATATCGTTGGAATTTCTCCCGTGGCTGATACACTTGCTCTAGGAAGTCCACCGCCTAAACCACCACGCCCACCCCTCGTGGATCCAACATTGTCCACACGTCGCAGAACAGGCAGAAGAAGTAGAAGAAAGTGAAAACCTCGGAGCTTTTACCGATGTTAAATTGTAATTTATTCCAGAATTTTTTACACAAAATTTTTGGTAATAACCTGCTCGATGTAACGAAGTGTAGGAATATACTGATTAAAATAAGAGGAAGAATTCGGTGAATTCTAGAGACTAGGGTAAATATAAAAATAAATAACTTTGAAGAATTAATTGTTCCATTTGGTGCTCTTTATATTAGACAATTAACTAAAAATTGAATCACTGGTGGAAGCCTTTAAATAATTTTTCTACTAATACAGTTTTTCTAGTTTCACGTGAAAAGGAGTGTGAAATTTGAAAAATATAAAATCGTCGACATTAGTTGAGTATCAATATTACTTTAACCCTTTCGTTACTAAATTTGAGTACTCGGATAAAAATTGATTTCAATTCAGTATCCATTACAAACGCGATTATCTGTAGATATACAAGAAATTCTTAAGAAAAAATAATTTGGTCACTAAAGGGCTAAGCTGAAGTATTATCAATAATATTTCAGTATATATTTCTAGATATACCTAAATCGTTGATAAACTGCATATACCAGGCGACAATTAAAAATAAATTATCAAAAGTTAAATTCATTCTTCTCTCATCTATTGTAACCCTCCCTGCTATTTTATTTTTATTCAACTATTAGTAATTTACCTGAATTCAACAAAGGAATTTTTCTTTCGTACGATCGCTTCTAGCGATAATCGAATCGTTTTCATCCAGTAGGAACATTAGAATGCGTTTCGGAAATCGTTCCACGAGCCGCCTTCCAGGCAGGCAGGCATATCCTAGAGTTTAGAACATTACGTTCTCATAAATCAGCCTCGATTCGATTCGGCATAAATCATAATCGTGTCGTCGGGCATATGCAGACATCTTTGCCCTATAGCGAAGAGCTCCGTGAGAAAGATCCTCCACGACGCTGAATCGCTCTCTCTTCTCATGATATGCCGTTAACTGCTTTTCATCCTAAGCCGACGCGTTTCTTTCGATCGGTTTCTCGTCTCGTTCTTCAATCCTACATAACAGATCCCACAAATAGCTTTCGTAAAATTACACTTTTGCATCGCTGACAATACCTCAGACTTCGTAGGTACGGTGCTTCGTAAAATTGCTCTACCTCCCAATTTTTTTATCTTTTATGAAGTAGGTAGGTACATGAAAAATATGTAGAATTAAAACATTGTTTGGACTTCAAAATAAATAATGATTAATGCCAATTAAGATTTACAATTTTTTTTTTATTTTTTCGAATGATTCAGCAGCAGTATGAAAAAAGATCAGGCAACTTTTTCAATAAAATTAATTGTAAGCCGAAATAATGTTATCTGCGTGTAAAAGGCTAACTATGTTGTCTAAAAAGTTTGAATCAGTAGAAAAGTGAAAATGGAAAAATCATGCAGAACAACGAATCACTAAAATAACTCAAATAATCTACAATCGACATAAATCTAACAGCCTTTAACCACGTAATGTGACAATTTCACTGATTACATACTCAAATTACCTGCAATCTATACAAATCTAACAGTCTTCAACCACAAAATGTGACACGATGTTACACGAATCTAATCAGTAAGCAAATTACAAGAAAAATGTAAATAAATACAGAAAAGTCAAGCCTGTCTCTGTCACGAGCTAAGACATCCTCCTAGAAACAGCTTGATATCCATCCTACGTGTAACTCCCGGCTATTCACGCGTTATTATTTATTTTCCACAGTGGGAGGAGCGAGCGAGTTTTGAAAGCACCTCGCGTGCATCGATTTGATTTAACCTCACGGTTACCTGCATCCCGTTACGACTTTCTGTTGCACCTTCAACCACCTGTATACAGGGTGTGTCTGCAACACGTTTACCTCGCGATGACAACGCACTTTTTCACCGTCCTTTTTCCGATCGACCATTCACGTTATCGAAAAAAAAAACGTTGTAATTCGCTTCTTCCTGCGAACTTATTTCAACGACGAAAAAAAAAAAAGGTGTCAGGTTTTACACTGACACGTATCTTTATTGAATTTTGCCGGTGAAATCTGTTTTCCGGGAGGTTAATCGATTACTCGCGTAATACGCGAAATACGCCCGAGACGGGCAAATGAATTATTAATGCGACACGTGGCTGCGACACGCGAATGCTCTGCATGAGGGAGGCGGAAGTGTGGGAATAAATTAACATGGAAATTCTGGTCTTTGATTTTTCTGACTGTGATTTACTTCACAACGTTCAAGCTCTTTCTTTGCTATTGTTATCGTGTGGTACGCTACTTTTAATGAAATACTGTAAACAGAGTGTTTTAGGACAGAGATAATTTCTCATGTAAAAGTAAATCGAAAGTGTAGAATAAAATTTTTTCGTATAGCGCTCTGTCTTGGAGGAAGTATGAGAAATGAAGGGCAACAAGGAAGTAACAAAATAAACTTTCGGAACCTTATCTTTCTTCAGAAGTATTTGATAAAATTCAAAATTTGTCCAAAAATAATCAACTCGTGTCTTCCTTGAAAATTACAATGTTAATGTTCAAGATTTAATCTTTAATGTATAGCAAATATGATTCTAATTATAACTTTGAAATAAATTTCAATAATTTTTGCAATTTTAACTGAAAAACTGTAATACAATTTTCGAAACAAATTTCCAGTTCTACACAAAATCTCGATAAGAATTTTACTAACTTCCAGAAAATGTATTTCCTTTATCCAATCGAAATTTCTTAATTAACTCAAAAAAAAATCAAAGCTAATTTCCAGTTCTACGCAAAATCTCGATTAACGACTCAATGGAAGTCTATTAGAATTTAATCCAATAATTATTTATCTAAGAAAATATATCCCTGTTTCAGACACACCGCGTATACTCGATCGGAAGCGTGCTAGTTGTTCGAATTTCACGCGAACGCCGGCTATTATCCCACCACGGACAGTTCCTTTTCGTCGGAAGATCACAATAATTCTCAACCGTACAACTTTCAGACCATTTAAATCGGCCGAATCCCCGGAACACGTTACTTGTATCCGCAGCACTTACATATATTTACATCGAATTAACCTCGGCCAACCTGGTAGAAACAGGTTGCTCTGCCGTAATTATTACGCCTTTCGCATTACAATTATTAATTCCGTACAGTGGTTCGATCGTTCCTCTAATTAATTCCGCGCATTAATTGACCGTCATGCTGACACAGAGACACGCTCGCAAAGATCGATTGCGCTCGTCCCAAAAGAAGAGTTCGAGGGATTTTTAAATTGTCCTCCTCAGTGGAAACGTTCCGATTAAATTCAACACACCTCCGAGCTTTTTATTCAATTTTTCCTTAAGAATCTTTTTGATTAATGCATCAATTAGCGCGCGAATGTGAACCAGTGGTTACAAAGTGGCTACCAACTCTGTCGAGTGTCACGAGAAACAATTAATTAACCTTGACAACGCTTAATGAAATTAATAAGAATTTCGAATAGAAATTCACCCGTGAGAATTGATGAAGCAGATTGAAGCATTAAGGCGGTATGGATTACCTGTAAAAATCTGTCCAGGTGATTTATTAAGGGGAATGAAGTTTGTATCGATGTGTAATGGAAACGCTTGTCGAAATATTTCACAATACAGAGTTTCGTGTTCTAAATATAGCGGATCTTCGACGTAACAAATTACTATCACTGTGTTTCAATTTTACATGCAACAATTTACATATTTTAAGATTAATGAAACGAGGTTAAAATACACCAAAGAGTAGCTAAAGTGAAACCTTGCGAAATTCGTGGTAAATTACAATGTTTCCCGTAATTACTCAAAAATTTTACACGCACGAGCAGTCATTTTCCAAGTAGAAATATTATACGTACGTGCTCGATCTTTGAATTTCAATTTAAACAATTACCATGCAATACTGATGTAATTGATACTTGTCACGAGTGAGATATCTCGAGAAAGAATAATAAATAATCGTTTTAAAGCTCAGTTTTATCGAGTAAAAGGTTGTTGAAAATATCATGTTACGTTATGCAAGATGAAATAATTATGGTGAATAAATTCAAGCAAGAATGTGCGGGCAACTTAGTATAAAGAATTACCTTTACAGTAGTTGCATAATGAACAATGGTCCTCATCTTATGTCATAAAACATGTTTCTTAATATACTTGCACAAAGCTGATATCGAGATGAGGCGATCGAAAATTTTCGACGCATTTTACGATCGATTTAAGAAAGAAATCACTTGGGTTCTACACTGTCTCTTCGAATTCTCTTTGACAACTCTTTCACTGAACTCTCCGTCCGCCCTTAAAAACCTTTCATCCCCACACATACTTTCACAGATTTACTATGACAACACACTGCTACCTGACTTCTTTAAATTCACTATTTTCAGAATACTCGTTCTCCACAATTGCACTGCATTTCTAAAAATTCTTTCCCTCCCACAATGTGGAACGATGTTTCAAAGCTTATTTACAAATAGTATACTTGTTCAATTTCTATTCCTATTCAGCTGTAAGTATTTCTAACCATGTCTCGCTTCGTTTCTAAAAATATTCTCTCTCCCACTGTGCAGAATTTTTAGAACCTTCACAACAGAATACGTAGGTACTAATAGTTCACAATTAGAACACTTACTCGATCCTTATTTTTTCTTAACTTCAAATACTAATATTCTTAATATTTTTTATTTTTTGCTTCTTGTTATATAGAGTTGCTTATATTTCATTTTCAAATATTAAAGAAGATTCTTATGCATTTTAAATGAGATACTCTTCCAATCTCTACCCCTATTTACACATATTTCGTTTCACAAAATACCGTCTCAATAACACTGAATTTTTTGAACATTAGAAGTGAGTATCCAATCAAACTATTTCCCAGAAATCTTCTCTTCATGCAACCTCTATTACGATTCATCTCTCTCAAATGCATCGAATTGCCTTTTCAAAAAGTTTCCCCATTTCCATTCAGCTTTTCCAAAGCAAATCGCCTCGAACGCAAAGAAATACTGGCCTGAACT